AACAGACAGTAAATGCTTTGGACAGCCCTGAGCGTTTCCAGACGGGAACTCACTCAAAAGGGGGCTGGGGCGTCCCAGGGGCGCGGCCTTAGGCTCCCAGAGGCCCCGTGAGGTGGTGGCCGGGTGTCTTCGTGCAGGGGTTTGAGTGGAGCGTGCCTGCCGAGACGTTCTGCAGTTCCCAGTGTTTAACAAAATTCAGTGTCCACTCTTTGATTTGCAAAAACTCTCCCATCCTAGCGGCCCCGGGTGTGGACTGGGGCCTGTGTTTACTTTGCCCTGTTCGTGCCTGACCTCCTTTTGCCCCAAGTCTCAGAGAGGCTGAGAGAGATCCCCTGCTGGGGCTGCAGCCGCAAGGCCACCGGGTTCAGCCCTCAAGGCCTGCTTGCCGGGGCAGTGACTAAGCCGTTGACAACCTCAAGGCAGCTTTGTGCTCCTTCGTCTCTTTGGGGATCTCTTTTGGCCCCATCTGTGTGTCTCACCCTGTGGCGGAGGGTTAAGGTAGGCAGCTGGGGAGGGTTGGGTGGCCCTTGGGCTCATGAGGCCCCAGGGCACCCAGGTTTGGGGGTGCCGAGGGCAGGAGAAAAGGCCTCATGGTGCGCAGGCCTCAGCCTCTTGCGGGTTGCCCCGGGGCTTGTGGATGGCAGGAGTGGGCCGCTGGGGAGAAGGCAGTGCTGACAGGAAGTGGCTTTTTCTCCTGCAGCAGATGGCTGAGGACAAGGCCTCTGTGAAAGCCCAGGTGACATCCTTGCTCGGGGAGCTGCAGGAGAGCCAGAGTCGCTTGGAGGCTGCCACTAAGGAATGCCAGACTCTGGAGGGTCGGTGAGTCGTGGGAGCCAGCTCCGGAGACCCCTTCCAGGGTTTCCAAAAGCATGAGGTGGGTTTAGGGGCTTCCAGGCTGCTCCTTGATGAGGCTAGACCGGGGCAGGCTGCGTAAACACGTTGGGGCAGGTGTCAGGAGAGGTCTGGGCCAGGCATGCGGGACCTGGGTCCCAGCCAGCTCTCCGCACTCTGTGACCCTTTGATGGAGTTTTGATTATTTCCTTAGGAGGCATTTTGGGGGCCCTGAGCCCACACCCACGGTGTCTAGTTCTCTGGAAGGACTTCTGGGACCGGTGCACGGTTGCCCGCGTGGCTGAGGTAGATGAGAGTTTTGGAAAAGGGCACAGGGCAGGAGCCGCCAGGGCAGGAGCCGCGGGGGGAGTTGGAGAAGCCCTGTCCCAGCCTCCCGCTGCCCTGCGAGCGGCACAGTGAGACGCGCCTCCCACACGGGCCATGTTCCTGCCCAGAGATGCCCACTAGACACTCGGCGCCCTGGGTGTTTACCGGGGACAGGTCCTGTGAGCACCCTCTGCCAGGCAGGTACCTAAATCTCCGACTCCCAGCAACAGAGTGGGTGCTCATGGCAACCACGTTGTTCCTACAAATGGCGCAGGTGCAGGGACCGCCCTGACCACTAGGGAAAGTGTCACTGTGTCAAGGGAACTTTACCAGCCAAGGGCCAACCTTGCCAACCAGTGGCCTCAGGCCTGCTGGTTACTCTCTTTTGCAAAGGGGTCTTGGTTCTTGTGAGTGGGACCATTGGGTCAAAGGGCAGGGAGGTTTCTGTGGTTCTCATTCGGCCCTGCTTCTGCCCTCCAGACAGATGGATCAGCTGCCAGGGGGACCCCGGCCACCCCAGCACAGTAGGCGGTCAGGGTATACTTGGGGCAGCCGGCAGGGCAGAGGGGAGGGGAGCTCGACCCAGGCTCTGATGGGCAGAGGGAGCCCGTGCAGGGTGTGGGGGCAGCATGCGGGCAGGCGTGGAGGGGAGAGCCAAGAAGCCAGGCCTGCCAGGCAGAGTTGGGGTGACTAGAGAAGGGCCGTGTCTGCCTGTGGCCAGAGGCCACCCAGGACCTGCACAGAAGCACCCACCATCGTCCCTGCAGTGAGGCTGTGTGGTGGGCTGAGGCCAGACCCTGGAAACTGGAGGTTAAGGGAGCTGTAGGGGGGCAGGTGTGGGAACTGAGCATCCGAGCAGGTGGTCTGGGACTCCAGCAGAGCTCTGGGCAGCACCAGGGATGGGGCCGAGTCCTAGTCGGCATTGAGCTCAGTGCTTGCACGCCCAGGTGGGCAGTCTCTCACTTTTGGAACACCAGTCTCTCCTGACCCCTCCACTGAGACTTCTTTTGCTGGGGCCCCCAGCAGCCCCCCATTGGAACTCCACAGGCAGTTCCAAGGGCTCCTCTCATCTGGCCCCAGCACTGCGGGATGCAGGTGACCCCATCCTTTTCTCGGACCACCCCCTTCCCCTGGCTTCCAGGTCTCCTTGGCATCTTGACCCTGTACTTGGTCACCTGCTGGGCCCCTACATTGAAGCAAACACGTCTCAAGCAAAGCTCCTCACCTGCTGCTCCCACCTGGCCCTCTGCAGTTGTCCTTGTGTCTGGTGACGGTGCCTCCACCCTGCTGCCTGGCTTCAGCTCACGGTCACAGAGTGTTCAGAGCCGACCCCCACCCCCCCGCCCATGCCCTGCGCATAGCCCCTCTTCTCCCCCTGTTTTTCCTCCCTGAGTCTGCTCTTTCCCTGTGCCAGGGCCCGGGCGGCCAGCGAGCAGGCGCGGCAGCTGGAGAGTGAGCGTGAGGCACTGCAGCAGCAGCACAGCGTGCAGGTGGACCAGCTGCGCATGCAGGGCCAGAGCGTGGAGGCCGCACTCCGCATGGAGCGCCAGGCTGCCTCGGAGGAGAAGTGAGTCAGCCGGGGCGGGGCCGCACCACGGGGTCTGTGGTTCTACACTTGATCTTAGCCAAAAGGCCGAGAAGTGTTGGGTCCATGGTTCTTTCTGCCTTCTGAGGAGTCCTTCAGATTCTGTCTGTGGCTGCGGGCCCATTCTGTCCCTTAGCCTTGCTAACAGTAGAGGCGACTATGATGACACCCGGTTTGTCTTTGACACAATCATGCCCTCTGCTATCCAGACCACGTCTCACTGCCTGTCCACACGTGGCCTTTTTTGTAGTTTTTTTTCCTAGCCACTAGGTCATCAGGGGACTTGTCCTTTAAAACCCCATCTAGGCTGGGTGCCGTGGCTCACGCCTGTAATCCCAAACACTTTGGGAGGCCAAGGTGGGTGGATGGCTTAAGCCCAGGAGTTCAAGACCAGCCTGGGCAACAGAAAGACCACAAAAATACCCCAAGCCTCCCTTCTACCGGCATCCAATCTGGGACCTCAGGTTCCTGTCCTTGGCGTGCCTTTTGAGTCTCCTTTAGAACAGTTCCCCTGCCTTTCTGAGCTGTTTGTGAAGTTCACAGTTTTGAAGAGTGCAGGGTAGTTCCATTGTATTATTACTATTAATTATTATTATTACTATTACTATTGTTATTTTCAAGACAGGGTCTTGCTCTGTCGTTCAGGCTGGAGTGCAGTCACATCATCTCAGCTTACTGTACCTTCTGCCTCTTGGGCTCAAGCGATCCTCCCAACTAGCCGGGACTATAGGCACAGGCCAGCACACCTGGCTAATTTTTGTATTTTTGGTAGAGGTAATGTTTTCCCATGTTGCCCAGGCTGGTCTTGAACTCCTGAGCTCAAGCGATCCTCCCGCCTTGGCTTCTCAAAACGTTGGGATTACGGGTGTGAGCCACCGCATCTGGCCGCGATTTTATTATAAACATTTTAAAATACTAGCTTTTAGGAAAACGACATTAACTGCCTGGTGACCAGTCCAGCGCTCTGCTTTAGAGCTGACAGCCTCAGGAGTCCTCACACAGCCTTGGAAGACCCCATTCCAGGCCTGTGATGCGAGGGAGGGAAGGGAGCGGGTAGAGTTGGAAGCAGGCAGGAACTGTGGCTGGACTGGGATGAGGTGGTTTCTCCAGCAAAAGCTCCTTTTCCTCAGGCGGAAGCTGGCCCAGTTGCAGGTGGCCTATCACCAGCTCTTCCAAGAATACGACAACCACATCAAGAGCAGCCTGGTGGGCAGCGAGCGGAAGCGAGTAAGTGCGGCTGCCGGGGCTCTAGGGCTGGCCTTGTCTCTTCCTCTCCCCGCTTCCCTGAACCTTGAGAATGGGCTTCTGGGAGGGACGCTTGACTTGCCTTAGACCTTTATCAGGCTGCAGCTGTGACAGCTCAGGGAAGCTGTGGGGAGATGGCAACCCCGGGATGTGGCTCTCAGGAGTGTGAGCAGGCCATCATAATGGGGGGCTGGACCAGAGCCTTGGGATGCTCCCTCTGTGGGGCTGGGGATATCTTGTCTCCATGGACATTCCCTCTTGCCAGCCATCGCCATCTAGGCACCTGGCTCAGCTTCCCCCAAGCCAAGGTAAGCCCGGCAACATTTCCACCTCAGTGTTGGTTGGGAGCCTTTTCCTAGTTTGTCCTCATCAGACCTAAGCTGGGTGCAGTTTGCTAGCGATCACGTTTTAGCAGGACACCATCAATCGTAAGTGTACCCAGAGGAGATTTATAAGGACAAAGCCTGAAGCCAGGTCACGTGGGGAAGAGTTAGCTACAAAACTGGCCACTTAATTTCTGGAGGCAAGCGTTGGTGGGGTGTGTCTGCGTGTGTCTCAGGGAGCTGGGGATGCCTGTGTGGGAGGAGTGCACCTCTGACCAGGTGGCAGAGTGGAAGGACTGAGGACTCTCAGCTTAGCTGTGCACGTGGCGGGCACAGGACCGGCTCGCTGTGAGTGGGTGTGGCCTGTGTCCTATGAAGGGTGGGAGGAAGGCTGTGCAGCTGGGGGTTCTGGGAAGGGAATGTCGGCCTGGCTGGAAGGTTGTGCCAGATGACCTCAGCGGCCTCTTCAGTCCTGAAAAAAACCTCAGCATCTCCTCCTCTGTCGTTTTGGGCCGTGACAGGACGCAGTCTTCTCCCTGTGCACGCTGAGATCCTGCAATGGGCCCTCAAATCAGGGGCTGGCATCACCCAGCTTGGTCAACCACGGCCACTCTTTCGTCCTTCTCAGTTCTTCTCAGCCAGCCTCGCCCCGGGCCGACGAGGCTCCGTCAGCTCCCCTTGCCCGTCTTTAGGGAATGCAGCTGGAAGATCTCAAGCAGCAGCTCCAGCAGGCCGAGGAGGCCCTGGTGGCCAAACAGGAGGTGATCGATAAGCTGAAGGAGGAGGCCGAGCAGCACAAGATTGTGATGGAGACCGTTCCGGTGCTGAAGGCCCAGGTGAGGGCCCTCCTCTCTGGCCCACCCTGGCACTGGGACCTGGAGTGCCTCTTTGGCGTCTTTTTTTGCTTTTTGAGATGGAGTTTTGCTCTTGTTGTCCAGGCTGGAGTGCAGTGGCACGATCTTGGCTCACTGCAACCTCTGCCTCCCGGGTTCAAACGATTCTCTTGCCTCAGCCTCCTGAGTAGCTGGGCTTACAGGCGCCTGCCACCACGCCCGTCTAATTTTTGTATTTTTAGTAGAGACAGGGTTTCACCGTGTTGGCCCGGCTGGTCTCGAACTTCTGGCCTCAGGTGATCTGCCCACCTCAGCCTTCCAACGTTCTGGGATTACAGGCGTGAGCCACCGTGCCTGGCCTCTTTGGCATCATTTTGTAGTGGCCTTTCGTAAGCTTCTGAACCACTTGTGCTGCTCCTTAGACCTCTCGGTGAGCTTGGCGTTACTCGCCGACGTGTCTGTTTCCTCTGCGCCGCTGGGGGCTCTGGGAGGACAGCAGTGGGCTCTGCTTTGTTCCTATGGTGCGCGGCACAGTGCCTGGTGGGTGGCTGGCTTGTGGCGGGCACATCCCTTTCTGTTGGATTTGCCAGGCGGACATCTACAAGGCGGACTTCCAGGCTGAGAGGCAGGCTCGGGAGAAGCTGGCCGAGAAGAAGGAGCTCTTGCAGGAGCAGCTGGAGCAGCTGCAGAGGGAGTACAGCAAACTGAAGGCCAGCTGTCAGGAGTCGGCCAGGTGGGCCTCTGAGAGCGTGCCCGTGTAAGCAGTGGGTGCGACACTGGGGGGTCGCCAGTGGTGACCGCAGGAGACGGATGGCTCCTGGTGTTCTGGGTTAGGGCTCACTGTGGTCCCTCTCCTCTCACCTGAGCTTCCAAGAGCTGCTTTGACACTAGTCCAGCCAAGGAGCTTTACAGAAACGCGTGCCTTGACTGGACGGTTTCTGTTTTCAAAGGATCGAGGACATGAGGAAGCGGCATGTTGAGGTCTCCCAGGCCCCCTTGCCCCCCGCCCCCGGTGAGTGAGTGAGCATTGGGCCTGTGGGAGGAGGTGGGTGGGGAGGGCAGGTGCTGCGCCGCGGGAGGTCACAGTTCGACCTTCCTGTCGCTCTCCGGAGACTTGACGGCGGGAGCTCGTATAGGCCACCCCATCGGTAGCCCACCCTCTTCCCCGAGGCTAAGGGAGGCGTGCCGTGGTATCGGCGGCTCCTGGTTTTACGTGAGTGGCCTGTGAGACCAGGCCTGCCATTGACAGTCCTGCCAAGTCTCCGTCCCCTTCCATCCTCCCCTTCCCTCTGACTCTTCTCTTTTCCCAGCCTACCTCTCCTCTCCCCTGGCCCTGCCCAGCCAGAGGAGGAGCCCCCCTGAGGAGCCACCTGACTTCTGCTGTCCCAAGTGCCAGTATCAGGCCCCTGATATGGACACCCTGCAGATACATGTCATGGAGTGCATTGAGTAGGGCCGGCCAGTGCAAGGCCACTAGCTGCCGAGGACATGCCCGGGACCGTGCAGTCTGCGCTTTCCTCTCCCACCTGCCTAGCCCAGGATGAAGGGCTGGGTGACCACAACTGGGATGCCACCTGGACCCCCACCCAGGAGCTGACCGCGGCGCCTTACGCTTCAGCTCTTGGTCCACTGGTCGCCTCTTTTAGGGTAGATGCGGCCCTGATCAGGCCTGACTCGCTGCTCTTTTTGTTCCCTTCTGTCTGCTTGAACCACTTGCCTCGGGCTAATCCCTCCCTCTTCCTCCACCCCGCACTGGGGAAGTCAAGAATGGGGGCCTGGGGCTCTCAGGGAGAACTGCTTCCCCTGGCAGAGCTGGGTGGCAGGTCTTCCTCCCAACGGACACCGACCCACCCACCGCTGTGCCCTGGGAGTGCTGCCCTCGTACCGTGCACACGGGTGCTCTCCTTTTGGGCTGCATGCTATTCCATTTTGCAGCCAGACCGATGTGTATTTAACCAGTCACTATTGATGGACATTTGGGTGGTTTCCAATGTTTTTGTTACCATAAATAATGGCGTAGTAAAAATCCTTGTGCATTAGTTGTGCGTATCTTTGGCATAGATTCTGAGAAGTGACACCACTGAGTATGGGCGATGGGGTAGATGGTACCTGAGCCCCTTCCTCCTTGGAGCTTGGTCTCCCGTCTCTCCCCACCCCCTATTTCCCTAGCCTTGCCAAGGAGGAGGTGGGAAAGCCCGTTTGGGTTTTTGTCATTCGCTAGGCCATGCAGTTCTCCGTCAAGTGTGAGCTTCAGCATCTTTTCTGAGACTTAAGGATGCTTTTTAGTTCTGCTTGTGAATGGGCTGCTCATATCATATGTATATATGTATGTATATATGTGTGTGTGTATATACATATATATATATATTTTTTTTTTTTTTTCTCCTTTTTTTTTTGAGACAGAGTTTTGCTCTTCTCACCCAGACTGGAGTGCAGTGGCGCAATCTCAGCTCACTGCAACCTCCACCTCCTGGGTTCAAGCGATTCTCCTGCCTCAGCCTCCCTAGTAGCTGGGACTACAGGTGCCTGCCACCACGCTCGGCTAATTTTTGTATTTTTAGTAGAGACGGGGTTTCACCATATTGGCCAGGCTGGTCTCGAATTCCTGACCTCAGGTGATCCACCTGCCTTGGCCTCCCAAAGTGCTAAGATTACAGGTGTGAGCCACTGTGCCCGGCCAATTTTTGTATTTTTAGTAGAGACAGGGTTTCACCATGTTGGCCAGGCTGGTCTCAAACTCCTGACCTCAGGTGATCTGCCTGCCTCGGCCTCCCAAAGTTCTAGGATTACAGGCGTGAGCCACGGCGCCCCGCTGGGCTGCTCATATCTTTTATCCATTTGTCTACTGGGTTGTTGTCTTTTGTTGCTCAGCTTTTAGAAACTCTTTGTCCATGAGCAGGATTAGCTTTGTGCCTGTGATAGAAATTGCAGATATCTTTTCCTGCTTTGACCTTGCTACTAGTGTTTCTTTGTTTTTTGTTTTGAGACAAGGTCTCTGTCTGTCACCCAGGCGGGAGTGTAGTGGCACAATCAGAGCTCACCGCAGCCTTGATTTCCCGAGCTCCAGCAGTCCTCCTGCCTCGGCCTTGCGAGTAGCTGGGATCACAGGCGCGGGCCACCACACCCTGCTAAACTACTGTGCTTCTCGGCCTCGAAGTTTTTTTTTCTTTGTGTAGTCACATTTATCCATTTTTTTCCCCTTTTACTACTTTGAGTTTGGAGTCGTCATGACCACCTCGTGGTCTGATGGAAGGATGCTTCACACACGAGCACTTTTCTTTTTCCAACACCGAAGCATGCTCTTGTCTTCACCAAGAGTGTTGCTGCTCAGTGTGGCCGGTGGTGGCTGTTTCATCACATTCCAGAAGTTTGTGATGCCGTTTCCTACACTGGCCCCAATTATGAAGAACAGACGACTCTACTTGTTTTACAAGATTCTGGAAATTTCCTAGGATGTCAGAGCCCTGGGCATTAACCCTGCAATTGTAGCAAAGGAAACAAAGTTGGAAGTTGACTCCCCAGCACCCGGGCCTGCCTTCCTGCCCTCCTCCAAGCTGCCCTGGTTGGGAACGGGATGTTGTGAATCCACCCCGAGGCTTCCTCACAGGGCTTCTTCCTGCTATTTGACAGTGTGAGGCTGGCTAGAATTGGGGTATGAAGCCTTCTAAAAATTAACCTGGCCTGAGGGCTTTCTCAGCATCTGGGGGTGGGGTGTGGCGGGGAGTGATCTTTCCCCTTCTTCAAGCCAGGTGTCCATCAGATTGTACTTGGGAAACTGAAAGGCACAGACAGCTTCTCTGCTCACGGGTGCTGCACTTAAATCCTAATCTTGCAATTTTTCTACAAGAGCACTTTACATTTTTTTTTGGAGGGAGGGTGTATGAGTGGACTGTGGCTGCTGTAACAAAGCACTGCACACTTGGGGCTGAAAACAACAGAAACTCCTTCACAGTGTTGGAAGCCAGAGTCTGCAATCAAGTTGTCAGCAAGGCTGGTTTCGTTTCTTTTTCTTTCTTTCTTTATTTTTTTTTTTTTTGATAGAGTCTTGCTCTGACACCCAGGCTGGAGTGCAGTGGCGCCATCTCAGCTCACTGCAATTTCCGCCTCCAGGGTTCAAGCAATTCTTGTGCCTCAGCCTCCCGAGTAGCTGGGATTACAGGTGCCTGCCACCACATCCTGCAAGGCTGGTTTCCTCTGCAGGCGCCAAGAGAGTCATTTACGGGCCTCTGTCTCAGCCTCTGCTGGTTGCTTATAGAGCCATCACCCCAGTCTCTGCCTCTGTCATCACACAGTCTCTTCCTCTTCGTCTGTGTCTTCCCTTTTGTCTCATAAAGGACACCAGTCACTGGATGTAGGGCCCACATGGATAATCCAGGATGATCTCCTCATCTCGGCATTCTTTATATCTGGAAAGACCCTTTTCCCAAAGAAGGTCACACCCATGAGATATGCACGTATCTCTTCAGGGCCACCACACCACCCAGTATGGGGACATCCTCCAGAGCACACAGATGAGGGCAAATGCAGCAGCAGTGCCTGGGAGCTGGAAGAACCCACCGCCCTGCCTCCTTCCTCCTCTGGTAGCACGGTGTAGGGTTGACCGTATACCAGACACCAAGGATTTAAAACCATACCATTTGCCCGGAAGTAAGGCATTCGAAGGTTTTCCTTTTCGGCTTTACTTAGGTTGAGCTTCCAGAACAACTGGTCGGATTACTCTTGGGAGGGAACCAACCTGCCTGCCCTATTGGCTGCGGCCCCTTGATGCACAAACCAGAACCCCGTTCCTCTTGGAGCTTGTGGCGTTCTCTGGTGTTTGTGCGCGCTCCCCCTCCTGCCAACCAACGCACGAGAGCAGTGCGGGTGACCAGTAAGCACGGTGAGAAGGTGTTTCGCCCTCATCGGTAACTAAAACAACACCAAGTCCAACAGCAAGCAAAAAGTGATCTGAAAATGGCAACTGATGAAGCCCTAGGTGAGCGCTCTGCCGGCAAGGTGCAGGACAGAGGCCTTGCAATGCCGTCCCTTCCGAGGGGGCCATTTGCTGGGATGGAGCAAGCCCGTAGGCAGCGTCCTCAGCCCTGGTGTGTAACCCTAAGAGAGAGTCGGGCACTCACGATGACTCTGGCTTTGGGGAGGCGCTTCACTTCATCGTTTGTAGCTGCCAAAGGTCGGGGTAAGATAAGAGGCTGCATATGTAACAACGTGGCCCGGCACAGCTGGCATTTCGAACATCTCACACGCAACATGCCTTATAGCATGTTGGTGTGAACAGGCCAGGTGCCAAACTTACGGATAAAGCGTGACCCCAGTAGAGAAGTAAAAGCTCTGAGTGCACACCCTGCTAACATTTGGAGGGACGTGAGTAGCTGGGTGGCCAGTAATGAGAAGTTTCCCTTACATGTTAATATATTTCCTAAATGCTTATAATTTGCACGCATTCCTTTGATACACACAGAATACGTCTTCCCACACAGTCGCTCGGGTGTTAACGCAGCTTGGTTTTCTTCTGTGCCAGTGGCAGGGAAGAGCTCGCTGTTGACACGGCCGCCCAGCAAGGCACGGGCAGGGGCTTACCGTGTCTCCTGGGGCTGCCGTGACCAAGCACCACAGACTTCGGCGAGGCCGAAGCCCCAGAAACGTGTGGCCTCCCGGTTCCGGAGGCCTGGAGGCTGAGCTAGCGGTGGTGTCCCCAGGGTGGGCTCCCGGCCAGGGACATGAGGGAGCGGCCTTCCAGGCCTCTCCCCGGCGCTGGGGGCCCCCGGCGGCGCCTCTCCAGCCTCCGCCTCCGTCATCCCGTGGCCTTGTCCCCGCGGGCCTCTGTGCCTGTCCTCCTCTTTTGACAAGAACACCGGAGATACACAAAGATACACAAAAGCGGGCCTTTGTTCCAGCTGGGAAAAGAGATTTTCTTCAGAAACCCCCGCTCACGGGGGAGAGAGCTGAGCTCCGTTCCCGCCCCAGCAGAGGCGGCATGGCCTTGCGAAGGGAGGATGAGGGAGTCGGGAGGGGGCGAGTGGAGGCTCAGGTGAAAGATGACGGGGCAGCCAGCGTCCGTGCCACGAGGCCAGCCGTGTGTGGGAGCTGCCGGTGCTTACCAAGGTTGGGATTCTTCCCTCCCGTGGAGACTGGGAGACCGGGCCCCGTGCCTCCTGAGGTTTCCATTTCCAAGGAGTGGCTGCGGGGCCCTCGGGAAAGACCCTGGGTTGTGGGTGCTACACAGATGTCTCAAAGGGACAGGCTAAGCCCTTGCTAGTAAATGCTGTAAGCAAGGGAGGTCAGGTGTTGGCCGGAACAGACAGTAAATGCTTTGGACAGCCCTGAGCGTTTCCAGACGGGAACTCACTCAAAAGGGGGCTGGGGCGTCCCAGGGGCGCGGCCTTAGGCTCCCAGAGGCCCCGTGAGGTGGTGGCCGGGTGTCTTCGTGCAGGGGTTTGAGTGGAGCGTGCCTGCCGAGACGTTCTGCAGTTCCTAGCACCATCATTTTCTCCTCCTCAGACCCCTTGGTTCTCCTCCCATGCCCCGGCAGCTGCTTCGCAGGCTCCTTGCTGGTTCCTTTGTCTCCGAGCTGAGTCCTGAATTCTCTTCCTCTCCTTGCTCTGACGCCCCCCCTTCGTGACGTCGTCCATCTTCAAGGCATTGATGCTGATGACAGATTTCTATCTTCCAGTCCTGATCTGTTCCTTCATGAAAATGAGCCCAGTAGCCTGTCGAAGCCAGAACTGGACTTTTAGCCCCCACCCCCTGCCAACTCTGCCCTTTCCCTTATCCCCAGTTGCTTAAGCCAAAGTGGATTCCTCTTCCTCTCATGATCCAAACTCCTGAGTCCCTTCACCTTTTGCCTAGACTATCACGGCAACCTCATTGCTGCTTTCACAGTGGAGAGCGTGGGCTCCCTGTGATCTACTCTCCACACGGCAGCTGGTGTCATCTGGTAAACCCTTGCTGAAACCCTCCCATGCCCTTCAGTTGCCCTGGAAACCTGAACTCCATCCGCAGCCTGGCTCGCAGAGCCCCCACGCCACTGGCACTCACGTTA